CTCTTAAAAAAACAATACATTGTAAGCTGCATGAAGCATATTTGTGATTAATGCTATGAAAAATTAGGTTAGGAATGTTTATTGAGACCTTGGCTATCACTACAGCTCCAATTATACTGCAAGTTCTCAAATTCTTTTGAAAAGAACTGCAAGTTCAGGGGCCTAAATTAAATCTAGAAAATTTGTTTAATATATAATGCTGACAAAACCTCAAGTGTATAATCCCATACAAAATACAAGATAAGTAAATCAATATTTCAGTATACACAACTTTTTCTGCACAACTTTTATTACATTTACCTGTATAAGTATCATAGAACTAATTTTTTTCATGACCAATAGGGAATTGCATTTAATGCTGCTTTTGTATCATACTGCCTCAAATCTTCTAGCGGCACTCTGGCACTAGGCTTTGCCTTGACAAGTTGATCTGAATTTAAGAACATGTACTGTTCAAAATTATAAGATTTAACTGCAAAAGTTTAGGGAATTATTTTACACACTTTATTCTCAAAAATACTTGAACAGAACTGATGGAAAAAAATCACCACTGCACAATGTCTTTAGGTCACGCTGAAGTCAAATGTCAGGTGTTCACTACTTGTTACTGCAGTAAAAAAGCACTCGAGACTTTTGCTTCCTTTAACAGAGCTTCATTCTATTTCCATTTTCATCACTAACATGTTCACTTATTTTTCAATATCTCCGCTTAGTTTGTTTATAAAACTAATCAGTATGAATGTTTGTTTGCAGAACTATAGAACATACTGTCTGTTTGTTTACAGAACTAATCTCTATGAAATGCCTGCACTGAGGCATGTAAAGGTCAAGATCTTTAAAATCCTCTTCTCCCAGTCAGGGTAACATTTTCAAGAAGCAGAAAGGTAAAAACAATACTGAATATAGGAAAGAATTAAAACCTTCATTCCTTCCCTCCACAGCAGGCTTCCATATACTATTTAAATACAGAAATAGGAGGAACAAAGAATGTGCAAATGGCTTGATAACTGCTGGAATAACTATTGGTTTTTATGGTACATTCTGAAAGGTTTTTCCTCTGAGACCTTATTAGCAAAGGAGCAAAATGGCTCAACAGTCAAACATGAAAGTATTGACAGCTACATCTCAGAATTCACTCCATCAGTCCCTTAAACAATTTCTTTTGAAGACAAAGGCTTTTGTGTATTTATATTTACACAGCTCTTTACATGTCATCATTCTCTCAGAAATTTTCCTATTACACTAAATATTTAACAAACATCATAGAACATAATCATTTCAGCATACACATGCAATCAGACAAAAATATCTCCAAACCTATAAAGGAAAAAAAAAAGACTTTATTAAAAAAATACAAATTGAAAATAAAAAACCACTATGGAACTTGCAGTATGCAATATTTCTACATGTATCTTATATGTCATTAATATAATTATTAGAATTGATAAAACGTTTTCAGAAATTACACCTTATTTTTTGTTTTCCAGTTCTACTCAGCTCAAAATTTTCCCTTTTTCTAATCCCTCAGTTCTCCTTTTCTAGTATTTTACATTGGGAAAGCTATCACTTGTAGTTAGGAACAGCTTTTCATATTAAATGAATAGCACTATATAAAAAATAGCACCATATTAAAATATAAACATTCAATCTATACTTCTTTAAAAGCCCAAGAGTTACACATATGAATCCTTCCCCTTATCTGAAAAGGGTTGTAATTCATCATTACTGGTCCTACTTGTATCTGATGGTAAAGCTGAGAATTTCTTGAGTGAACTAGATAAAATAACTCTCAGAAATGAAGGAACAATGACATTGACTGATTCTCGAGGACTTTTATTCTCACTACCCAGGATATAAAGATAGAGGTGAAATCAACATAATTTCTTCTCATGGATGCTTTTGAATTACTACCTTAGGCTTTCATGGCTCTCTCCCCTGTGAATCTCATCCCACACAGGAGCATTCAGGGACCTCACATTCCTAGTTCTGCACAGAAAGCTTGGAAAATCAGTGGCCATTGGTGCCACAGAAGCTGCCATGCTCCTGAAATGAATGTCTTGGTAGGAAAGCCTTCAGTCCTCCCCAGACAACTGAAGGTAAGTAGGGAAATCTCTGATGAAACAAAGAAATGACAGCTACAGTAGCTGATTAATGGCAATATCAGGGGCTGCAGCATCCAGGATCTCCACTCTATCTAGGGATGCAGGTAGGTTTACACTGCCATGACACAATCAGTGCTGCTGTAGCTGGGTTAATATGCACACCAGCAGCTACCTAGGTTATTACCACACAAGCTGAGTAAGGTGCACTCACAAATCTGAACTTCAGTGCAAGAACACTTCTCCAATATACTTGGGACATTGTTTATTACTTACTGAAACAAAAATTGACAGATGTATGATTTGCATTTGTTTACAGTTCTCATATTTTTAGTGCAAATTAAGCACATTCTTCATCAAGGCATGTCATCAGTTGTATTCCCAAAGGAAAATAAATTAATAGAAACAGCTCTTATTTAAAATGCTGATTTCATGTCAAAAAGATGGCATGACATATCAACTCCAATAAAGTCAGTTTCTCTGATTAGCTTATTTTGTTCCCTCCCCCTCCATTGTAATATCTGATTGACTTAATGTCTCACTTCAGTAAATGGAAGCAATTAAACTTCTTTTTTTTTTTCTTTCTAAAGTATCTATCACAACTGTTTAGTTATGAATTACTTCTTGTTAAGGTTAATTTTTGCATTCCTATTCCTATATTTCAGTCACTGGTTTTGAGCTAATGACAGAATAATATTCAGAGAAAAATGGAAGTGATTGGTTTGACTGAATGACATAATCCTCATTTCACTACATTTATTCTGTACTGACAAATAATATATTTATAAAGTAAATGGCTTTACTCCTTGGCTTTAAGAGTAGAGACCACACAAATCCAGGAACATAAATTTTTAATTTCATGGAATGAAAAGGGATCAAAATATTTGTCTGTGAAACAGAAGTAGTAGTCATGGAGAAACTAGTACCTCTCCATAATTAGAAATTATGAAATTCACATTCCCAGTGCTTAGGAAATTGTAAGCTTTACAGATCAACAGCTAGACTGAATGAAAAGAAATACTTCACTCCTTTCTTCTTTTCTGTGCAATGAGCATTGAGTATCTTTCCTGAAATGTCCTGAGAAGCCTTTTCCCTGCTGTTATTTCATGCTTTCAGATAGATTTTAAACTAAAAGTTCATTTCAGATATATTTTGTTTTGTTATTAGGAAGAGAAATCACCTAGTATGTTCCAAAAGCATGCACTGAGATAATCTACCTTTTAATTTTATTACTATACTGTGATTTTCAAAAAAAACCCCAACATTAAAAGCTATTTTAATCTACTGAATAATGATGACAAAAATAATTTAAAAGAGATTTCTTAAAAGGGCAAACTCAGCAACCAGTAAAATAAAAAATTAAAAAATATAAGTCAGTCAGAATATTTGAAGTATTATCATTACCAAGGATCAAAGTTTACTGGAAAAAATATTTGTGTACTACTACAGTTCTAATGTTAGGATCAGGACAGGAAATAACAAAGCTACATAACACACTCTGTAAATTTCTTAGCTGACTCCATGCAATGACTTGCATTATGTTGGCAATGGTACAGCTATCCTTCAGATAGCCCTAAGTATTACTGTTCATATTACACATTTAGGAATTAAAAGCACATTGCCAAAGCATCAGTGCACATCTCTCAAAACAGTCCATTCCAACCAGCAGACATGATATTCTCTGCATATGTGCAAGTTTCTACATACATGCTGCTTCTGTTTTGTACCTTCTCTCTTAGATATTTGTCATTTTTTGGTTAGAATTTTGGAACACAATAATTATTGATCTGACAACTCCTAAGTTGCTTAAAATAACATCCTTCTCTTCCGCACCTTTTATACCTCCTAAGCACATGTGGGAGGAAAGGATAAGTTTTTTTTAGTTAGTGATCAAAATTCAAAAGAGAAAGGGAGAAACGGCTTACAAAATTAACCTACAGTTGCAATATTTTACTTGTTTAACTTGTACTTACTTCAAAATTAAGTACTTACTAAGTCTTATAAATTTGTCAACTAGATTCAGCTACAGAGGTATTTTGTGGGAGGTTTTGTCTGTCTCAAGACAGTGGGATCAAGACAGGATAATTTATTTTACAATAGTAGATAGGCCTCTGTAAAATAATGACTTTGAAACACTGATTAAGGTGCAATTCAACTGCTGTTTCCCTTCCTTCTAATTTAATTCATCTTATGTTGAATAGTTGTACATTATATTATAAAAGAAAAATTCAAGTCTGAACACGCTCTGATGACAGAAAAAGGCACACAAACCATCCTTTGCAATTAGGGCATGCAGCACGGGATGGTACATTAAAATTGCATTACTCACTGTAACAAAGTGTCCTTCAGTGTATCTGCAAATACAATTTTCTCCCATTTTCAAATACTTACAAACTGTCAAAAGGAAGTGAAGTAGCTTTAGCATTTAGGATTGAAGTTTGACAATGGTAAAAGTAAAAGTGTTAAAAGTTTTCTTCTAAGAACCTGGCAGCTCTAGGTACTGAACTCACTGAACTCAGGTTTTATTCATTGATTTAAGGACAACTTGGCTTTAGTTGTGATGTATGTCCCTTTGGAAACCAATACTTTGTTTCAATTTGGTCACAGTCTAACAACTGACTTCAATATGAAAAATATTTTGTTGACAACATTTTTTCCCATTACAAAATCATTATACACTTATTAGCATGAAACACTTTATTTTTACTGTCACCCGGCTGTTTTCAGAGATAAGGTATTCATGCTTGGTCTGACCCCTAAATTCAGAACGTTATGTCCTTGTGGCATTGCAATAAGAAAAAAAGGTTGTTAGGAATGCCTTTTACATGACATAAAAGAAAAAATAACCATGCAGATAAAGAAAGAGTAAACCGCTTTAATTTGTTCTGAAGTCACGTATACCTGAACGCATAGCATCTTTCTGAATGCTTTCATAATCATGCCAGTCCTTCCTTTTTAAGCCATCAGTCCAGGTAAAGAGCTGTCCATCTCCCAGCCCCAATGGAAGTGTCTGTGAAAACAGTAAATAAACAAACAAATAAATATATACATACATAGGTGGTTTGCATTATTAAAGAGGAACAGTCAAGCACATAAAACATTCAGCTTATTCAATGCAAATATTGAAACTTTACTGTGGTAAATGAAGTACCTTGATTTTTTCCTTAAACTATCACTCGTGCAAAATTGGAGTTATATAGTTATATTTACTCTGTACCTTTCAATGTTTCCTTTTCTTTTTTTTTTTTTTTTCAATACCCGCTGTTGAGTTATTGGTATTTACACAAGGTCAAAGGACTGCATCAAAGGCACAAAACAAACAGATCCCCAAAACACTTTCAAATCCTGCAGATTTGATATCATTTCATGATAAGTGATAAGGGGAAAAAACCAAACACACAACACCACAAAATACCCAGAAAAAAACCCCATATGACATCTAGTTGGTAATTTGACTTCCTCTTTCCAGACTCCTGATTCTTGGGTAAAGCTAAGAACTGCCTTTTGCTTCTAGATGAAATTGTCATTCTAGAGCTTTTATTTTCATAATGTATTCTGCCAAATGCCAGTATTTTTATGAAAAATAAGAATTGAAAATCCCATTAGAAGTACATGAAATGTAGATCTGTAGGAAGTAGTACAAAGCTGTAGAAGGTTTCAAATAAAGTTAGTTTTTTCTAAATGCTTAATTTACAAAAAAATGTGGTAAAGGAAGTGGAGGACAAAATTTGACAAGCAAAGAAGATGACTGAATCAGTAGGTTTGAATCAGCAAGCTATTCAGAATAAAGAGCAGATACATAATGCATGTTAGAAACATTGTTATAAAAGTTCTGTGAAAATGCACTCAAAAAGCAGTTCCAGGGACACAACATCTGATCAATCTTCTAACAGCAAATATTGAAAGCTCTACAAAAATCCTATGCATGTGTAACAGTGACGCTTTCCCCTTCATGTATCAAGTCTGTAAACCCAAACAACACGGGACTCACCGATCTGCCATTCCTGACTTTACACTACTAGCTGCACAAAACTGAATGACACTCACTGCCTCCAAGTGAAATTGTCCCAGCATGCTCAGTTAGGGTTGCTCTTTTTAGGAGAGACAAATATTTGCCAGTCTACGTGGTGCAGATCTGGTTGCTAAGCCAGATCGTCAAAACTGAGGTTCAAAGGCTTTTGAATTTGTAATCAAGAAGTGAGGAATGCCAGGCATGACTGGTTGCCTTCAAGCAAAGGATACTAGAAATCCTGGCTGACAAAGATTCATGCTGAAAATCTCTGCTTTGAGAACGTTGGATATTCAGGGCAAAGTGATGTGAGCTCCATGCTCTCCAATAAATCCCTGAGATACCAAGAAAAACCCATCACATTCTGCTAGTATGACCTACATTTTTTTAGTCTTAATATCAAAGGTAATTTATATTACATAATGCCAAAATGCAATCCAGTCTGTGGTTATTCTTCTATTAAAACTTTGTTGTCTCTGTATTTTAATATAATACAAGTCAGAGATTCACACCTGGAAGAACCAAAGAACTTAAAAGACACTGATAAAAATATTTCAGTTTATCAAAATATCTAATCTTTCATGTTCTTGAAATGAACTCCCTAAATTCAGTCATTCTTGAGTTAAAACAATGTTAATGTTCTAATAGTAATACGAAACTGCTTGTTTTTTAAATTCAGAAGTGTAAGGTAGAACACAGGCTGCAAGAGCATTAATCATGATTCTGGAGCCCAAATTCCTAAAATCATCTACTCTGAAGCAATAGCTGGCTCTTTAAAAGTCAGGCCCAGACAGATTCAATTAAACTTCTATCTCTTGTCAGTATGGGTACAGCTGGTGTGGTCCCAAAAAATCAAGACTATCGAAACTATCAAATGCAGGATAAACTTTACTTTTGTGATCCTTTATTCCTATGCTGGCTTCTTTCCCTAAAAATCTAAATGGTAAGTCTGCAGGACACTGAAAGACAGCTGAGAAGTAGAGTTTAGAGGTTTCTGGTTTGTCTATTTGCATTTTGATGCCATTACTCTTTAAAAGTATTAATTATATGTAGTTACTTTACCTGATAACATTTACAAGTCTAATGTATCAGGACACCCTCTTGCAAGTATAATATAGTTAAATAATTACATCTACTAAAATTTATATAGCGAAAGGATAAATACAAATCCAAATATTGTGCAATACACAAAAGGCTCACAGAAATCTTTCTGTGGCTCGTATTTTGGAAGCGTAATAGTGCCCTAAGAGAACATAAGAAATGAACAAATTCAAAACCCTAGTGTTGGTGCCATCATAAGTCCCTGTTTAACAACTGAGTTTCATTTGGATAGTTGGGATTTTTTTGTAACAAGTCCCTTAACTCTCTCACATCATACCGTGGTGATTTTTCAGCTCTAACACTCTTGCAATGTAAGGGGAATTAAATACAATGCTCTTGCATTTAACTTCTTAACACCAGTATTCAGACAGCATAATCTCAATGAGGACTGAACATTGTGACCCTTAGAGGGACTGGACTTCATGAAACTCACCCTGTGTACACACTAGTTTTACCTCTGCAGTGAGCATGGAGCAGGGATTAAGAGCAGGAGTTTTGCAGTGCAAATTCTATAGCTCTGAAGAGATCGGAACTGCCTTCACTCCCTTGACAGCAACTGAAGGATTTTTTTTTTTTTTTTTTTTTTTTTTTTTTTTTTTTTTGACATTGCTATATTGTTTAACAGGATACAAAAGCACTTCCTCCATTTCACTTCTGCCTAAGGGTAAACAAATTGCATTTTCAAAGACCCTAAAACACAGTTTCTGTTTAGCAGTTTTAAAACTGCTAAAAGGCTCCACTGTAAAACTCTTAAATATGCTCACATGCCTCTTTTTTCCAGATGATAATGACTAGAAGAGCTCCCATTTCTAAAGCATTTCTAGATGTCAAGGAAGGAAAAAAAAAAAAAAACCTAATAAAAAAAAGTAATATTCTTATTCTAGTTCTCTAACTTTTTGGATACATTGACAATTTATATTCTATCTTGCATCAAACTAGAACAAGCTCAAGTTTAGTTATACACAGGTGGCTCTCTGGTATAATAGCTAGATAACAGTAACAAAGTCTTGCTACTTGTAAGTACACACAAAAAGGCCATAGACCTCCACAGTCCACCTCAGAAAGATAGGTTTGAGTAGGTGAATATGACATCAAAAGATAGAATGTGTTAATGGATCCTGATTCTGAATTTTTTCTGAACACATATTTAGTCATAAGCTGATGGACTAAACTCAAATAAAATTACCACATTGCACAAATAGAAGTACTAAAGATGGCAACAAAAGCAATTCTTCATTTCGGGGGTAATGTACAAACATCCAGATTAAAACTTAATAAATTCATGCTATAAAATACCTTATGAATTCAGTACAAAAAATAGGTTTAAGTGTGTAAACAAATAACCAAATATGGTTAGGTTTCAAGCCATAAAAGAAAAATTTATCAAAGATTAATTATCTGTGGCTAAGCAAGTTATTGAACCATAGATTGTGGGAGACAAATTGTTCTGGAAATACACAAGTGCCATTTGCACAGCCTGGATTCTTCTATACTTCAATGGCAGCAACACTCCATGGCTAGTGTGTAGTGTTAGTTCTACGTGTGCCTGTAACTGTAAGAGCAATAATACTCTTTTGGTACACATGAGGGCCTTAGAAATGGGAAGCATGACTATGGAACACTTTGGCTCCTTCCAACACATGAAGCAAGGCTTCTTTCTGGTGGAAACCAAGATATGAGAAAGGAGAAGACTCAGGCACACCTGCCCTTGCTTCCCCTCACTACATCATCCTAACACAAAAGCAATGCCTATATGTATTCTTTAGTGACATATCAATACATAGTGATGAGAAATGAGCTCTACTGATCAGCTAAAACATACTCAGGGTTTTCCCCTCCAAAACATTTCTGTAAGTCCCCCACAAATAGTGCAGTTTGCCTCTACAGCCCTTAGCCTCTTGAACTCATGAACTATTTTCATCATTTCAGAACAATTACAAGAGCAAATATCCCACTGCATACAAAGTATTGGATTTTGACTGACTGTCAAAAAAATCTTACAACAATTTATCATCCAACCACTTTTCACACGTAGTATGCACCTGTGAGTTGCACATTTTTAAGTGTTTCGGTCCAAAAGGGATTACCCATCTACAGGAACATTACATACAGCATCTGCCATACTATTTCATTTTCACATTAACCTCAAACCTTTTGGGATGCACGACTGATACACTACTACATAGACTCAGAAGACCCTTTTCCTCCAGAGAAGACTCAACATCTGGTTCAGTTACGGAGAATATGATAAGCCCCAAAAATAGCACAATTACCAAAAACTCACTCACAGACTGTTAGATCCCTCAGAGAGGAAAAAAAGCTTCTCTGCTGTGACATTTGAAAGCTCCAACCCAGAAAGAAGTGCCTTCATTGAATAATTCATTTATTTTTAATTTCACTCAGTGGAGGCAGACAATTAGAGGCAACTCAGGCAAGGGAAGAGGATATATCAATGGAAATGCACCTTTCTAAAAAATTAAAAAAAAAAAGAAGATATAATTACAGATTCACTTTGAGCCTGAAGCTTTGTTCACTAGTTCAGGGGTTACTTTACTAAACACCAATATACAACTGAATACTGCATTAACAACACATCATATGTTGATCAGCATAACCATTTCCTAAATTTCTGTTCTGGTATTATGACAAGTATATGAACACAGACATCCTCATGAAGCTTCCTCCCCTGTAGCTGGATCAGTCATAAAAACTACTAATTTTAAAAGATTTCCCCTTTTTCTGATAATGCTATATTTTAGCCCAGAACATCAAAGTGATATCTTAGCACTAGGGCACCCAAATCTGAAGTCAAGTGCTCTTTCACTTCTACATTCAAGCAAAATCCGTTCTGGTTCCAGTGACTGGCTGAGGATATTAGAGATGAAAACTAAAATATTATT